GCGTGAGAGCGAATGTGTGAGCAGAGATCCCTGCATGGTCAGTTTTGGAAGAACTTAACCACAAATTGTGGTGAGCATTAAAGTCCCCCAAAAACACCAATTCTGCATTGGGAAATCGCTCCTGCGCGTCATCTGCTGCCCGACTAAGGTGTTCAAAAAGTCGAGTTGTCTCAACATCGCCGGTGTGGGATCTGTAGAGGCACACGTAGACTCTGGCCCGGGGGCCAGAGTCGACGTGTACCCCCAGCATGGAGAAGGAGGGATCTTCCAAGCAGCGGAGACGGCAACAACAAACATCCGCCCGAACATACAGGCATACACCGGCTTTCGCTTTGAAGGACTCTTCAAGCACGTAGCCGGGATAATTAAGGTAGCCTGTGTCAGCAGGCGGAAGTATTTGTGTCTCCGTCAGGAACAACAATGCTGGCCGTGCTGTCTCGAGATGGTGGTGGACAGCGTTGAGGTTAGAGTGGAGTCCGCGTATGTTGCAGAACTCGACCTCAAACAGCGTTGAAGGCGTGGGGGTGTGCACCGCTGTACGTCCGAACTTTGTTATTGAGGCTGCCATGGTGGAAGTGAAAAAAAACGGACGCGAAAACGAGCGGACGCCGTCGCGAAGAGTCCGGGCAAATAAGGGGGGTTTGTCTTCCCGATTGACTGCCTGCAGTGGAGATGCGCCGACCCGCCGGACGGAAGGGCCCCCGCACCCCCCCCCGGAAGTGGCCGCCGGGACCCCACGCCCCGGTCACCAACCGGCACGACGGTCCACCCCGAGATTATGCGTGACATGATGGGGCAGCCTCGCGAACTGGTTAGGAACGCTTGGGCCCCTGTACTGTGCCACGGGCGGCCAGCGGGACAGCCGTTTCTACGGGTCTCCCTGGCCGACGGGTCGATGCAGTCCTCCCGGCATCGGTTCCACGGATGCCTCCCATGGACCGAATCCTTCGCGACAACTTCCACTCGAGCTCTGGTTGTACGCTGGCTGACCCCGAAACGCGCGAGAAGCACTTCACGGGGTTTTCACCATGCGCACGGTGGTAACAAACCAGGCGGGTGTTAGGCACCCTACCACCAGAAGAGCGGATGGAAGCTCCGACATCCCTTAGTCGCTTCTTACGACACCCACGGGAAGAAAAGGGGCGGTGAGTTGTATTCTTTCTCCGTCACCGCACGGATAAAAAAATTATATTTCGGTAGGGGCCATCGAAACCTAAACTCTAAGGTGGGCCAATAGATGTGTCCAGAAGTGTAGATCATTGCTCTTCGAGAGCCCTCTGTAGGAAACGTAGGGTTCATATACATAAAGGTTAAGCAAGACCTTTAAAAAATTGTAGCCAGGAGGATAAATTTGATAAATTTAAATAATTTTGATGAAGGTATTAAGGTAATATATAGAAAGTAAATTCGTAGGCCTCCTACGTACGAAATTTGAGCTCTGCTGAGTGACTACAAATAACGAAAATCCAATCAGTTGCTGGGCCCTCAGTTTTTACGTGCTCTAAATTTACTCTACCGCTACCTAAAAAATTGTATTTAAAGCTAAGGTATTTTTGGCAGTTTGAGTGTTGCTTGCTTCTGATGATTGTGATAACAAATACGTAATTATTTATTTTTTAATTGTTCTCAATCTATGTAATAAGGATTCTAATAATGAGTATGATGATTTACGTACAAGAAGTTAATTACAAAATGTCGACTCTGTTCTGTTTATAAATACATAGGTATCGTAAATATGATTTTTTCAGTAAAAGAAAAAATAAAGTAGTAAGTATCAATTTTAATAATAAAATACATGTTTCCCGCTACAGAGCTGTATATGTGTTGTGACCTGTTGACTGTTAGAAAGTTGTTTATTTTCCGAACCATTATAAAACTACATATGTATATCTTTAGTGTTTAATCCTGCTTTTTTTGCTAAAAAATGCATCAACTATGTTCATTTTATAATGAGTTGGGCCGAGATATTTCTCATGAATTCGTTTTTGAGTGTTTCGACCCAGGGCCCACTTATTAGTGCCTATTATTGAAGTGAAACTTCTTTATCGGCGGTGGAAAAAAATTTACCGTCACATTTTTCGGTTACGCGTCACATTTTTCCGTTACGCGCCATCTTTTTTTATATTAATAGTTGATAGCTGAATGATCACACTGTCGCCGGCGAGAACTCTCTCTACTCGTTTGTAGCTGAGTGACAATAGTTATTAAAGATAAGACTCGCTCAGCCAAACTCGCATAGCGATACTCGCTCAGCGATACTCGCCCAGCGATACTCGCCCAGCGATTCTCGCCAGCGATTCTCGCTCAGCGATTCTCGCTCAGCGATACTCGCTCAGCGATACTAGCTCAGCGATACTCGCTCAGCTATACTCGCTCGGTTAAGCTGGCTTGGCTGTCAAAAGCCGTGCGCGTGCATTTTAACTCAGGACTGCCAATTCGTTTCTAGTTTCTACTCGCTTATCGTTCATCGTCGGAGGTGGAACATGTGCCTTAGATTACTGAGCCGTGTAATCATAACAGTTTCATAGGCAGTAATTTGTATTCATGTCTATGATAATAAAATCCTTTTGTTTAAACTTTATCTAATTTAACTTTATTTAACCAATTTCTGGAAAGTTGCATGTAGATCATTTTTCGAAAAATAAGGCCATAAAGAAGTTTCACTTCTTACGTGTGTACACTAGTACACGCACACATTTTTTCTGTACTGATAGAATATATTAACCTCGTACTCACAGTGCAGCATTTTGACTACTTCTGCAAAATTTTAAAGCTTTAGCTTTACTTATAAATTTGAGTAAATTTTGAACACGTAAGAACTGAGGGCCCACCAACTACTGATTGGATTTTCTTTATTTGTAGTCACTCAACAGAGCTCAAATTTTTGATCACAGTCGTACAAATTACCTTGTAAATTATTTAAATTAGTCAGATACAGTAATATGGAAATTGAGGCGTTTCATTTGAGAGCCCACATTAGTTAAGTCGTAACGTTCGACTTACAACAGCTACAATTTTATCCTACGGGGTAATTTTTTTTCAAAGATCCTGTTAAATCTTTATGTATACGAAACCTACGTTTTCTACAGTGGCTTCTCGGAGAGCACACACATGAATTTTTGGCCGCTACATTGACCAGGCAGCTCACAAAATATAATAATAGCCCCCTAAATTACATAGATAAATATCAGGTCTCAGACTTTGTTTTTTGCTTTCGACATTTAAAGTGCCTGGCAATAAATACTGCATACAGAATGTGTCTGGCAGTATTCATATCAAACTGTATACAATATTCTGTACAACATACGTAAAAATCAGTTCTCAAATTGTAAGTAAATTGAGTAAAATTCTTACTTACCTGTACCACCTTATACCTGAAAATTGGCCCACAGCACAAGTTAGCGAGTATGTATACTTTAATTGTACACACTAACACTACCCAATACCCATATTTTGTGCAATCAAAAAAAGGCTCTTGGGATCTACTCTATTCCCTATGGGTGGAATAGAGAGATTGGGCTAACCATCCACTAACAACTGACCATGAGGCGGACCCAGCACACAGAATTAGTGGATTCTAACGACTGCAAATGTAGCCGGCATTTCAAAGCTCGGAGAATGTCTATAAAAAACGTTAAAAAAATATTGCATAAGGATATACAGAGATGCCGCTTCTGAGCGACAGGCCTGCGACGCCGTAAACCACTCGCATATAGGTCCGAACTCTAACCGATAAGTATTCTTTGTATGATATTCCTTACAACAACGCACATTAATCGGAATCATAACGTATGTCCCGAGGAGAGGCTGCTACGTTACGATTATTTCCAAGCCCCCCGGGGGAACCCCCGGTACAAAGTGGGTACAATATGGCAATAAGGACGAACTGGTGACACAATTAGGGTTCCTTGTTGACTTCGGAACCCCAAAAAGAGCATATTAAAAAGTTTGTTACAACTAAACAGGACCGTTCACGAGCCCGACACATAAATCCATTTTAAAGACTTGACTAAACTATCCCCTTGCCATACTGTCGCAGATTTTGAATGTAAGTAGTTTTTTATAGCAAATAATCCAATTTATTGAATGAATTTCTAAATATTCAACTATTGGCAAATTGATTATTGACGTTACCTAACCGACCGACTCGGTCGGTTATCGAACGCCTAATGATGCCTGGTGAGTGATTGTTTTACAGTTTAATTGATAAATTTGAATTATATTTTGATTGTTGGGTGATTCGGTGACTACTGATATACAGTGCAACCTCGATCTTAGAAATCGGAATGTAACAAGTAAATATTCGTTAAATTAAGTAATTCGTTCAACTGAGGTTTGTTATATTGAGGTTAGGTTGGTTTAAATTTGTTATAAAGAGGTTATCGTGACATAAATCACGTACTATGGGGTTAAGGGACATATATTGATGGAAACGTTATATAGAGGCTTTTGGTTGACTTTCGTTAAATAGAGGTATTTACTCTTTTTTTGATAGTTGAGAATTTGTTATAAAGAGGTTGTTCGCAAAAAATGTTCGTAATGTAAAGGTATATTTTACATTGACTCTTATGGAAAATTCAAGGGGATTAGGAAGAATTTGTTAAATCAAGGAAGTCGTCATATTGAGGTACGTTATATTAAGGTTGCACTGTAGTTTTTTGACTGATTGGTTTTCCAATATTGCTCCATTAGAATTAACTTTAGACATGACAATATTGAAATTCGACTGTCAAAAATCAAATTGGAGACCAGAATAAAGTCTGCGTCATTTCATCGATAAATACATACTAGTGCTACTTACTGCAATATAAAACTTTTTGTGTCAAAGCCTTTTTTCTTTGTGTCGTGTAAGTGTTGTGTTAATTTGAATGAAGTTGGCAATAAATATTAGGGAACTAGCGTCGCGCTGCGGCCGGCCGGCGGCGGTGGCTCCAGTGAAAGCCCTCACTTTCATCAGAGTGGGGCCTCGCCAGTCGCCACCGCCACAGCGAGTGAGCGAAGTGAACGTCGCCGCGGGCTGGCACGGCCACAGTCGGTCGGCTGCTGCAACAGTTCGCCCCAGAGCGTGTCTCGCGCGTCTCGTGCGATTCGTGATGTCCAAGTTGTGGTTGGTTGTGTTGCTCGCGGCGGGCGCGACGGCGGCGGGCGGCCGCCTGCCCCGCACGTCCCCGCCCGTCACCCAGGCTTCCCCTTCGCCCTCCACCCGCCTACCCCAAAGGAACTTCACCCTCTCGTCGCGCAGCTCCGTCAGAAACAGGTAAATCAAACTCTTTGCATAACACTTTCCATAACATATAGATTTCGAATGTCACTCGACTCGTGTTTTGTAAGTCAATGACAAAACTCAATTTACCCACCCGAGATGAGCTCAGCTAAACCGCTTTAGTTTGTTATTGAGATGTACGTACCAAGTGTTTGAACTACGTGATCATCATAATATAACATCATAACATAATTTTAAGTCTTTATTTTTACAGCTTTACAATAAAATTTTGGTTCTATTTTCTTATAATAAGTACGTGATCGAAGTAATAGAATTATGTATTTCGATCACGATATTAATATCATCAACCTAATTATCGCTCTGCATAAATTCGTTCAGTTTAAAATGTCGGTTTCGGTTTTCGAGTTTACTGAAGTATTGAAAGCTTACCGAGCTTTTGTACTCGATCTTGTCAAGTACAACTACTGCACGACAGTGCTTTCAATGTAACGTTCGGACCTCTGATGCTGTGGCCCAATTCTACATAACGTAACGTAATGTTTGAACGTATGTTCGAGAATTGTATGTACAAATATTTTTTTCAGTTTACATGTCGTCGGATAGAACATGAAAGCACGTGCTGAGCGGAATAGAGGGTTTGAAAACAAAACTGCTCATGTTTGCTAATGTCTTGTTATTTGGAAGTAAACGTTCGTCGTTCGACGTAGGTAGGAGGTAAATTATACTCTGTTGCAACGTTACTACTGCCTTAGTACCTTAAGTACTGTGGCTGGGCTACGATTGCTAAGTAAACCACCTCTAGAACCGTTTTAGAACATTATAAAAACTCGTTGTCGTTGGTAATAGGAATGCTTGTTCTAATGAAAACATTTCCTCAGTAACAACCTACCGTCTGATGCAATGGTATCGCTTATGTCTTTTATTCCAAATGCCCTGGGCTCAAGTCCCGCTGGAAGCATTTATAAGTGGGAAGAGCATAATTTTTTCTTCCCGTTTCGACCGTACACAATTTAGTTTTTATAATTAAGTGTATTAGGCGTTTTTAATTTCCATAGTACATGCTTCGCTTAGTTTTGAACTACACAGGTAGGTAATTGTTGAGTTTATTGATAGTATTAATCAATCAAGCCATTGCTTTAGTTATTTGCAAAACATTAAAGCTGTTGCGAAGTTCCCTGTTGTTGTATATGCGTGTCTCACCATCAACCTTCGGCATGTAAAATCTACGGCTATACGCAGAGGCGTCAATTAACTGTAAAGTTTGATTATGACTGTGGGTTTCACTTTCTGATAAAAATAAGTTTGATTAACGTTTAGGCGGGCAGTATCATTGAGATAGCGATAGGGTAAAACAATTCGTGTCTTAATAGATTATCAAATGCAATTATCGACTCGGAGTACCACAGTGAATTCTGTCTATCTACCCCGTGGGCAACGCTCTCTTAGCACTCTTCCTCACTGAAGGAACAAAAATACTACAGAAATATTGTAGATTAACTGCAGCCTTTTTCTAATTTGGACTTGACGAGGATATGCTAAACTACTAGCTTATTTTTTGTCATTTAGTCTTTAATTATATTATTGCTCGTTCTTCATATATTTAGGCAAGCTTTCGACACAAAGGGATTGTAATATTTTTAGTTAGTTAATTGCACACAGATAAACAGGATCCCAAAATCGTCTAGAAAATAAAATATTCATGTGAATTATGATAGGCTAAAGTACCAATACAGAACTCTACATTTCATTATATGTATTACCGTCTCGCTTCGCCGTTACCGTCTCGCTTTTGTCTTAAAAGTAACATTACCGAATTATTTATCATTTTAAATGATTATATGGCAACAAATTAAAAGAAAAAAATTAAAAGAAAAAAATACTTTATAAATTAAATTCCAGATGTCTTCCAATTATTACATAACTAGAGGATTCGACAGCCGTTGTTGAAAACGATAGTTGGACGAATGGAAATAGGGATTGATTTTTTTAATTATACACTGGACAGTACTTGGAACTCAGATTCAATTTTCCTAAAAAGTATAAAACTTACAATTATCAAAGTTATATTTACAGAAAGTGCGTTTCATGATGAGCTAAACAAACAGGAATTTATTTAGTTAAATCAATTTATTTCGTGTTTATTAATAATTTGCCAAAGACGAGTCGTTTTCCAGTTGTGTTAATCAGTAGCAAAAATACGACACGTCTGAGAAAACGATGGACAAAAACTAAAGAAATGATAAGAATAAGAAGTATCATACTATATTCATTTAATAAAAATAACGATAATCGCAACCTTATTAAAAAAATAGCAAATCGGTAAGCATTGCATTTCTTGCTTGATTACAAAGTAAGTTGACAGTACTTGAGAAAAAAGAATTGGCATTTAAATCATCATGAAATGCAATTTCGAAAGAATCACTTTGATAGTAGTAACGGGTGAACCAGCTTATTTGCTGTCTAGTGTAGATGTCATGTAAGCAAAGCTGGTACTATAGATGATAAAAAAAAACTACGAAAAAATTTAAATCGCGACTGCCTTATGAGAAGACGCACTATACAATTAAAAAAAATACAAAAATTTATTGCGGTTGGAAAGCCGAACTAGCATTCCTTATTGTACTCATCTCATACTTTCCTCATATACTTGTTCTTTAATTTCTTCTCTATCGGGTATCCTTTCTTCCTTCGCTCTCTAGTTATTTAACCGCTCTCTCCGCTACTGTCTCTTATTACCGACCTTTACGATCTCCTTGGCTGCATCTGGACGCGCCCTTGGATTAAAATAGTAAAACGTACATTGAAATGTGCACTGCAAATGTGTACGTGAACTGCCCAAAACCGCTCTATTGGATTTTTCATACCTGCGCAATTTATAACTTGAAAACGGTAAGTAATACAAAAAAATTGTTTCTACAAAAGTTGTTGGTAATTATGTACGAAACAACTTTGCCATTTGAAGTTTTCCATTAAAATGATATTTTCAGGGTGAAAAAGTGAAAAAACACTTTTTTGAGACTTTAGCGCCACCTACAATGCGCATTTTTTGTTGTACGAGATTGCAACAATGACATAAATTGTAGTACTCAACGCCCTCTACAATTATGGTAAAAAAAAAGATTCTAAAATGCATACAAAACAAGAAAAATGCGTTTCAAAAAATTTTTGACGGTTTTTTTGAGTTTTTCAAAAAACGCCTACGAGTTGAACATGCCCATCGCCAAGGTGGCTTACTGACGTCATTTGGCAACAGAAAAAACAAGACTTACCCTTTAGGTTTTTTTTTTCACTGAAACGATATTTTTTTCAACAGATTGACTGTACTATAATTCAAATTTCGAACGATAACTTTAGCGCATAGGTAATGTGAGAGATCTGCATTAAAAGAGAAGATCTCTCACACTTTTGATAATTAACAAAACAAAGCGGAGACAAAAAGTTATGCAACGGTATTTCAGGAATTTCGAAAATATGCATGAAAAAGGTAATTATGTAGCCGTACCAACGTAGGTAGTCAAGGAAGTGTTTTTGTCGATTCATTGTTAAATCACAATCCTTCTTAATATTATTGTTTAGAACAAAGTCCATTTATTTTTGTCATTTGTTGTTAGAACTGATAAGTTTTTATTCGCTACCAATAAATGTTAAACATTATAAAAAAATGCAAGTCAACTATCCGTGCATATTTTTTCATAAAGAAAGAAATTAGTTATTACAGACTTGTCGAAAAAAGAAACAAAAAAAATGGTAGGCCGACAGACACCAATCGTTTTAATTTAAATTGAACATATTGCGACGGACTAAATATTTTAGACGAGTGAGCACTCAGAACGGATTAGGAAATGTTGCTCTAATTATAGAGCTATTATAGTCATTGCAGACAGTATAGTCTGATCAGTGTCCAGTTCTATCGAATTTAAATACCTCAGGGCATCCGGTTAGCAGGGTGAGGTTGTTGCAACAAATCGAAGTTATCAATAATAATTATGTGGTGTTACCTACTCGATAACTTTTAACGACTTGTTTCTTCGAGGGCTTTATATACCAACGTAATTTACGGATTACTTTCTGGTACACTTAAAACACTAATACTGTTCTTCATAACGCAATTCGTATAACACTGTATAACACATAATTTTTTTTTTAACAAAAGTAAGTAGGTAGGTACCCATAGTACTTACCTACCCATAAGGTCGTCAATAACTTTTCCTCCATTTTCAAAATAACGTACTTGGGCGTATTAGATAATTATAGTGTTTGTATACAAACAAGCCGTTCTATTATTTAAGAAACCGGACATTAGACATATGAGGTTGTTCTAAGTACATATGCGCGCGCGTGCTATATGTAGTGTTTAGTGGTACCTATTACAATAAGAGCACGGTCTCACTTTCTTTTCCTTTTGTTTGGTTTTCAATGTTAAAGTTTGTTTTCACCAATTTACTAGATGAGTCTAACTATATCTTTTTAACATGTACACAGTACAGCTAGTTAATATATGTAGGTACGTTTCGGGATAGGACAACCAGAATTGGAACATCACCGTTAGGTTTTTTTGTAAATATTTTGGAATGGTTACTACCGGTATTTAACTAGTAAGACTTTGTATGTTGACACAGGAAATGAAGGCTACATTCAAGATTTAAATAATATATTAATAAAATGTTTGGTAAGTATTGCAAAAATACCATAATAAATGATCGGAATATTATTTTTTTGTGTACCAACTTTTTCTTATTAGAACAGAAAAGTTAGGTATCTATCAACTATTAGTTATAAGAAGTCGATGAAAATTTATCGTCAAAAGTTGTCCAAACACTGACCAGGCCAGTAGGTAATAATTTGTATCATGGTCACATTCACTTCCTTTATCATTTTAACCATAGGTACCTACAGCTGCTAATTTGATTGGTTATTTAGTTTTATGATTGATACTACAATTTTTTTACAAAACTAGTTTTTGCGGGTTAGATGTACTGAATTTATTTATTTATTGTTTCGCCGGTTCTTCTCAGAAAGGTCTTCCAATTTTG